GGCTGTAAGCCTGTCCCATTCTTGACTTCTCTCTTACCTTCATTCCTAATTTCCAGTAAGTCCCTAAGTTCTGATTCTACCTTTCAAATAGGTCTTGACTCTATCTCCTCCTTTTAATCTGCACTCTTCCACACATCTGCACAATCCGACCATCATGTTTCTCACCTGGCTACTATAGTATCTTCCTAACTCGTATCCTACTATTGTTATTTCTTACCACCCCCTTGTCAAAAACATTTTTCCACCAGAATATTCTATCTCTAAATTGCCCATCTGTCATTCCCCTGCTCAGTTCCTCACCTGGAAGACACATTGCTTTACCTGAAATGCATAATCACATTGCTTCAACTGAATACATAATCCAAGCTCCTTAGCATGATCCGCAAGACTCCCTTCATAATGTGGTGCCACTTTGGCTCCTGTCACCTCTCCCTATTCTGTGTCCCACCCTGCAGGCAGCGATAGGGCTGACTGGCCGGCAGTTGACTGGCGCAAACCTTGCTGCAGCGCCTATCTACATCATTGTTCATTCTGTCCCTTTATCTGTCATATTCCTTTCTGCCCTTCCCTTGAAGGGCCAATTCCTGCTCAATTAACTTGGTGTCATGTCCCCAGAAGACTGTCCTGATGTAATACAATCTCTCCATACCTCTCAGAGAACTGAGCCTGTTCTCTGGAAAAGACATGTTTCCCAGACTACCTTGTCTATCTGGGCTCTAAGTTCTCAAAAATATGAGCTATTTGATTTGTGTTTGTAATTAAAACCTTATTAACATGCCTGGCACACACTGGCTGCCCAGTACATATTTGTCAAACTAAAGGTTTTGCCAGAAGGTATAAAGCTGTTACTCTAGAATGGATAGATGATATGCCAAGAATCTTCTGTCTCAACATTAAGTTATTATACTACTATATTGACTAGTATAGCATTAAGATAAGCTTGTTTAGAATTCACAAGTTTTAAAATGTATATAATAATGACTTTCAATGTTTTTATTCTAGTGCTGAGTTTTATTTTCCTTTTCCTTTAGCCTTTCTATCTTCCTTTATTTTTAACCTTTGAAGAATCTCAGATATTCTTACAGAATCAACAATA